CGTTTTTATTTCCAGCAAGTGTTGGAACAATGTATGCCTTATGCAGAATTAGTGTTGTAGCCACGAATTATTATTTTCTTTCCTTCTTTCTTCCTTTTCTTTATTTGACGATAGGCAATAACGAACTAAACAAGTGTAGATAATAAGTAGTAACAGATTTCAAATGATTTATCGAAATATTTATTTACTGCACACACGCAAAATCTCCATTAGATAACATTCATGTCTCACGCTTATTGCCTCTACCGCCGAATAAGTATACTTCGGCTTAAAAAAATATATTGGGTGTTGGCACCTGGAACCGAACTTAGGTTTCTCTTGTTTAACTTTTGCCCATTAAATCCTGGCTCTTGTTATACACAATAATTTTGACTAGTAGTCGTCTAGTTTTTGAAATTCACAGTTTATTGTTTGTATCATTTTAAAATTCGAGACATTGTTAGCATGGATGAGGTATGTGTCGTTAACCGACATAATTTGTCCAAGCGCCTATTATGTGTTTGGCATTAGAGGTATGAACGTACACAATGTATGTTTTTTTTTATTTGATGTAGTTGTAACACATTATATTATATCAATTTCAGCTTTCTACACTCCTCCATATGAACTAACTTCACATCTCGCCAAATCTCACACTCCGTACGCTTAATATGCTTAAAAAGGGGTACAAAGTTTTCCCTGCACGTTTTCATATATATAGAAGATATTGTTAGGTAATCGTCAATTTTTATAGGATGAAACAATTTCTATATGCAGAATGTTGCGTGAATTCTATTTAATATATTTAGCCGACTTCAAGAAAAGAGATTTAACAATTGTACTGCATTTTTATTTTTGTATGTATGTTATGTGATACGGAAGGTGATTGTAAACCGAGTTGGATAATTCTATTTTTATAGTAAGTTACACGAGTGGCCCCGTATAAATTAAGAGAAAAAAAAAATCACCCACTCCATACCATACACGCAAACACTTATACAACATACCTTCACTGGAAAACATATGTCTTAGCTCTTAGCACAGACTTCAGAATGTGAAATTATTTTATTATTTTTAGTTCCTAGAAGTCTGCTTTTACTTGTTAATATATTTTTTAAATTTTAATTAAATCTGTCATGTTCTAACTGTAGATGAACAAAACCGGTAAGTTTCGTACGACAAAGCTATGATTAAGGAAGCAAAACTAGGTAAATATTTGCAGAGTTAAGAGCAATCAAAGAATTCTTTTCATCCCAGCTTCTCTAGAATTTTAATTAAAGTATATTTACAGTCCAGTAACAATCGCTCGCAAACCGAGAAAGATAGTAAAAGCTTTCGCAAACAAGGAACACTTATAAAAATGAGAGGTAGATAGATAGATGATAACGCTTCAATGGAAACGAATGCGATTTAAATATATTGGTGGTTAACTTGTTAGACACGTAATATTATAACCGATTAACAATTATGTATAATAAAGAGCCGTGGTAGCTCAGGGGTTAAGCGCTCGCTAAGAACGCGACAACCCGGCTTCAACCACCGCCCGCGACAATTAAATTGTTAATTGCAATTTTAAGTGCTGATTTACCACGTGCTCGGCGGTGAAGGAAAACATCGTAAAGAAACCTGCGTGTCTGATAAATAAAAACGATATTGCGAAGACGGGGCGAAAACATTTCCTTGTCCTAAAACCCTCTCAGAATTGAGAGCAGGCCTGTGTCCAGCAGTGGTAAAGTCCGCGTAATCATTTATGTATAACAATTAACTTACACTAAATAAATTGTAAATAAATTTTGTTATATTTTATCTTATACATTTTTATATTCCTTGATGCATTCAAAATATATTAAGAAATAGATCAGTATTCGAATAATATTAGAAAAGGTAAGTCGGGAATTTCCTCTTATTTTTACTAATCAAATATACTATAATTTTACCGATTCTTAAGTGTAGCAACAAAGTTGTATATTAAATAGTATTTATCATTTAATAATTTACGTTTTAATAATAATAACTTACCTGTTTTACCTGTGTTTTACGTTACGTTTTTATTATTTTTAAATAATAAAAAACTGTTGTGGCAACTACGACAAATATGTCTCCATATGAGAAAATCTATGGGAAAGTCTATGTTTAGGAATGTACTTGTATCTTTTTACTTTTGTGGTATTAGTATGTTTCAATATGGCTTTATACCATTTATGTACCTATGTATAACATACAATGATTTCAGCCTTCATTCGTAATGTAGTTTTTAGCTACTGTAGTTTAGATATCGTATAGCCTTTTATAAGCCCTACCTTTTACTGTACTACATTATATGTAACCAACTATTACAGTATAGCTATAACACGCTAGTTCCACGCTCTCCGACCTACACCACTGCAAGTTTCTTTGATCCCGGTACGATGCAATGTACACACATGTTTATGTATGCAACGGTTCGCTAGACCGGTTCTAATGTAGCCGCCGAGTTGAATACGCTTGTGCGATTCCTTTCGAGATTGAGAAAATTTAATTTCGTTTGTAACTAGTTCTACGCATTTACAGAATAGCTTTTACGTTGGAGTTTTGTCAAGAAATTTCGTATACTTACGTACGAAACGTTGCGCAACCACAGTTTGCTATGAATATGAAACTGTATGCGTGGTTTGGCGATTATTTATGTCGAGTCAGTTAAAATGTATATAATATCTCTCTTACAAGTAAGGTTGAAAGTAAGCTTTGAAAAGAGGGTGTATACTGAACACATCCCCGTATCCCTTTAGAGGGTACAGGCGTGATGTTATATTGTGTAATTGCGTAAACAATGCAATAGATATATGAGATAGTAGCAATCGCGGTTGATTTGCTAGCATTTATTGAAGTGTTCCCTTGTATGTCTCCGAAACTCATCTTCAGATCTTCACGAAATTTAAATGGGATCATTTCTAGATAAGCCTCTTTCGTACAAAATAAAAGAATATTGTAAATTCGTCCACAAATGACGTAGTTATGCCCGAACATACGTAAAAAATGTTAGTGAACAACCGAATTGAGAACCTCCTCCTTTTTTTTTAGGATCGGGTTAGGGTGACAAACGAGCACACAGTCCACCTGATGGTAAGTGGTTGCTGTGGCCCATAGACATTTACATCTATCCTCGATAAGATGTAAGATGCGTTGTCACCCGTGAGGAATGCCTTTTTTTCAATAAAAAGGGTTGCTGGTTCTCTACACTCACCATATGAAACACAGCAGTGTTAAGTTGCTATTTTACGCTAGTGTCCTGTGAGAGCGTGGTCCTTCCCCGGTCAAGCCGTCCCATTCGTGCTACAACTATACTACTAATATAGCTGCAGCATGGATCTACCACGTATAGAGAAACTCCTTTTTTGAAGTCGGTTAAAAAGAAGTAATGTCGTTGACACAAACGAGAGCTAGTGCTGTGCAAACCGAGCTCACCTTATCAGCAAGCCAACATGTATCAAGACAAACGCCGGCCGTAAGCAAACATAGCTATACTGGTAAATAGAAGAAAAATCAACTTGGCTCTAGTTCAAAGCGTTAGCGCCATTTCATTTAGTGCCAAGTGCAATATTTTTAGGCGGGCTGTGATATAGTGTATTCGGTCCGCGTAATCATTAAATCTATGGGGGTTAAGAAAAATTCGATAATATATTTCTTCTTTTGTTTTACATTAGTAGGTGGCGCAAATCATTAATTTTATATTATCGTTACATTAAACTAGTATTTAGTAAGAGCATATTTGTACCCGACTCCCTTAGAAGGAAGATAATGTTTTTCGAGTGTATTATGTATGTATGTATAATAATATGTATGGCTTAATGGATTGTAATATATGTATGTGGGAGTCGTTAGATTCGTCCTAGTTGTGGATTTGACTTGACAGTTGTTGGGGTTCAATTTTTAATGCAGTTGGGTTTTTTAAATGTTTTAATCCACAGTTTACGCCTCGTCTTCTAACAATATGACTATATGTTTGATGCGATAAGTGTATACATTACTTATTTATACCAAAAGAGGCGTTAATGTTTTTTTTTATGAAATTAAAAATAAAAGCACTCCAAATTATATTTTATGTTAAATTTTATGATCGTGTAAACATTAACTCGAATGAGCGCGGCCGATGATTGTAGAGTCGCCATTCGACCTCAGTGAAGGCCGTGCCCAACTTTTATTGATTTTTTATGCGCATTGTCCATTTCGTTCGTACCTACCGTAACGCCCCCGGTTTGCGACGACGCACACTACAGTATGATAAATGTACACTATAATTCATATCTACTGGAATTTTTATCAATGCGTAATACTTATTATGTGCAAGAGCAGAAAGTTATTTAAGAAACGTTATCATAACGGCGCTCTTACGAGTTATTTTCAGCAATAATCTTGGTATAGCCCCCTCCCCCTCCTCCACGTTATCTTAGAATATCAACGTGAACTATATAGCAGAATAATGCTGCTGTGTTTCGTATGATAGTAAAATAAACCGTAAGCCCTTTTTCTATTTTAGGCCTCAAGAGTGAGTGACAAGGCATCTGCGTGTTAATTTTCTTGTTATTAAAATTAAGTAAGTTAAAATGTGTGACACTTTTTAGTAAACTAAGGAATATCACAAACTTGAGCCCTCTTCCTTTGTAAAAAGAAAACAGTTTGGAAACCGATTATTTTGCTTTTTTGTTAATTATAAATGGTAAAGTTATCGATAATTTTGCAGAAATTCAGAATATTTAAGTAGGTTTATGTAACAAAAAAGTAATTGACAAAATAAACGATTAGCGGTTATTGTGCACTTGGACTTTGTTTCGAGTCGATCTAATGGCGCTCTTGTCGCCGTGTAATTGTTAAGTGTGCTTAATTTATTAGCGGGGACTTTATATAAGGTGATTATTGAATTGCAACAATGGTACCTACAGAAAACTTTTATAAAAGAAGAAAAAATTATTGTATTTTCAGAGTATAATATCTTAATGACGGTATAATGTTACAAAACTGATTTACCTCTTTGTTTGTTTCAGGTTGCAGACGGCGAATAACACAGCTTGGACCCAAAAGTAAGACAATTTTATACAATATGTCATATAGCGTTACCGTGTAGTGGCGAATATTCACTACCCCATATCATCCCGTGGGTGTCGTAAGAGGCGCTGAGGGAAACAAATCAAGAGATTTGCATCAGCTTCATCCTAATAACGACTAAAAATAAAAACAATTGTGTTTACCAAACCGCTTGCCAAGCGTGTCAACTATGGCAAATATCCCACCTATAAGGCAATCTTTTTTTTATAGGATAGGGTAACAAACGAGCACAGTCCACCTGATGGTGAGTGGTTACTGTGACCCATAGACAACTACATCTATCCTCAACAAAGACTCAAGATGCAGATGCGTTATCACCCGTGAGGACTAAGATGGAATGCCTCTTTGCCAGTAAAATGGGTCTCCGGTTCTCTACACTCACCATACGAAACACAGCAGCGTTAAGCTGCTATTTTACGCTGGTTTTCTGTGAGAGCGTGGTCCTTCCCCGGTCGAGCCGACCCATTCGTGCTACAACTATACTACTAATATAGCTGCAGCATGGCTCTACCGCGTAAAAGTCTACCACGGCCTAAAGAAGAGGCCTATGTTTAGCAGTGGACTGTAATAAGCTGTAACGGTAACCGTATATCATAGCTATAGACAAACAAATATATAAATATTCTTCTACTTTGTCAGCTCGTGGACCACTGATGGACATGAACTTTTTGTTCTTGACGGGGGGATTGACGATCGCAGTATCACGTGAGCGAGCACCTTTAACTCTTCTGCTTATCGCTGGTCTAGGTAATTTTTTCTGGCATTTTCCAGTCTCCTTTTACGGCACCCACGGAATGAAATTTGGTAATGGATTTTCATATGCCACCACTCTAAACGTCTTAGCAAAAGTCAAGTAAATATTGCTTAAACATATTTTAAATTTGAAGCGTATCGGGCTCACTCTGGCCTTTTGATAAAATAAGTTATGTCTGTTAGATACGTCCGTTCACGTTCCATTGGAATGCTTAATCGTTGTTTTGTTATCTCGCGGCGATCTGTCTTTGTTCACATGAATTATGTTCGCGTGTTATCGTTCTGATACATGAGCCTTCACTACGACACAAAAAAAATTCTAGTGAGGATTATATTTGTTTTTACTTTACTTTCAAGGGCTAAGTTTCACTTTACATCAAAACCTTTTCTCAATTTAATACATTTGAAAACTAGAATTAAACAATATTCAATTACCTAAACAATCATGACATCTTGATTGATTTTCGATTTCAAAGATTAAAAATATAATAGTATAGTCTATTGGAAATCTTAATTCACATCGCATTTCATAAGAACGTGGTACTCGCGCCACACCTTACTCGCCCGTTATCACCCGTCGTCTTTCAACTAATTGGCACACTAAAACGATACAACACTCTTTATCCATTAAGCAACTCTCGAATTAAACGCCTATGACATAAACACTAGAATTGCTCAGCTGGTAGCTCTGTTGAAATTACACCGGGCCACTCGAGCGGCATACACGATCATTAAACTTGTATGCTTGTATCTCTGTTAATAATAATAATTGCGATTGTCTGGTTGTACGTGCGCGGAGAGTTATGGCGCAGTTGCCGGGCGAATCGACCTCCCCTGCTCGCCCCTCACGCCTCTCGGTCGCTCCCAGGCGCATCTTGAGATAAAATGGCATTCAGAATCGCTTTGTGACGCTTGAATGGATCTGGCACTGCACGCGCGTGTGCGCGTGACGTGTATGAATTATCGCGCACATGTCTCACATGGAAAAATGTTTATTCGCGCACATATAATTTGCGCTTAAATGTCATATTGCAAAAAGTTTTAGATGAGCTTGTTTTCCTTTTAAGTACTACGCGATGAGTTCGATAGATTATACTGTAGGCTCGTCATAATTTAGTGCTTCGCCGAATCAATAGAGTATGTTGGTTCTATTTTTGTTTGAGTTGAGGTTTTTTTATGTCCTCGTAGACATTAACTAGGTGGTTAGAGCTGTTACCATCTAGCCTAGGAGTCTTATCTAGTCCGTCTATGTAGGTAATACCCTCTTTCCTATTTATGCGGGCAAATAGTAGTGCCTTGCACAGTTGTGTTCCGGAGAGCGACTATAATTACTACCTGTGGGACCCTCCATCTTAGTCCTCGGAGGTAAGAACGCATCTGTTTATCTGTAGCCTTCTTTGTTTGAAGTTGACTGCAAGTTTCAATGGACTGCAGTAGCCACTTATGATCTGGTAGACTGTGTGTTCGTTCATCACTTCACTTTGATAAAAACGCTCCAAACTATTTTAATACTTTTTTAATTTAAATTGTTTAATCAAAATTATTTAAAAACGAACATAATATGACAAATAAATATAATCTTTATTATCAATTTCTTTTTCACTTTGCTTTATTACATCTTATTCAAATTATTGCCTTAATTACCACTACAGTAGTATAGTACTTAGTAACAGTATATTTTTAATATGAATGGTATTTATTTATTTCTTCTATATGTTACTTTACACATGATTTTAAGTAAAAATGTCGCCTTGTGGAATTTTTTGTGGTTGCCTAAAGATATTGTTGAGCATGTTTTGGATATAATCCTATTACTAGTGCAGATAAAATAAAAGTAATTATTTTTTAACAACTCTGGTTTAAGCTCATCCCAAACACCTAAAAGTACTTTAACAAATTAAAATTAAAACAATTATGTAAAACAGGCGTATATAAAAAGCGCCTAAATTTATAAAAAAAATTCACACGTTAAACCACACACACACACACACATTAAACATTTTGACATTGCTATAATAATTTAATAGTTGGGCAAAGATTGAAATTGTTGTGTTTAGAGTTGGTTGAAATTTATAGAGGTTATGTTAAGATGAAATCGTATTTCGCGTAGAAATGTGTAAATATTATTCTAGTTTCTCCAGTGGGCTTTACAGCTTAACTATGATTACTCTGTCATACGTTTTATACCAACCACTAGAGATTCTCTTCGTGTCAAAGATCACATACGCGACTCACGAAGCTTGATAAGGAACATCTTCCTACCACAAGTAATGTTCATTTCATTCATGTTACAGTTCGCGGCATTTATAATGACTTGTACTTTTATAAATTTAAAAACATTTTGATTTTTATTATTATTCAGTACTATATTCGTACTATAGCAGATATCTTTAACTGTTTAAATAATCAAACACGTATGTCATAGAACTCAAAGCGAGATTAGCTTAATGGAAGGATACGAACGGCTGATGTAAAATTTTAAGATTTAAACTGCAAGTTTTTTGCTGTAAACAGTCTTCCAGCTCAAATATTATTATATCTATACTTAGTTTAAGCTGTAAGTGCTTAAGGGGCACATCAATTATTGTAAAGTAACAGCATTATACTTTTTGTTTGAAACGAATTATTCGTATATAGTACCTACATGAAAAATAATTATTTTTATAAAGTACTTTGTTTGAAAAAAAATTATAAAGTCAACGTGGATTTGCCCTACCGACCGGTTTCGACTGCTTTATAAACTAAAAAAGTGCCTAAAAGCCTTTGCCTTTGTACCCTTTGAAATTGAACGTATTTCGTATTCTACATTGTCGATTATTAATCTCGTCTCTCGACAACTTTATCACGAACCGTGGTGCATGCTGCTGGTTGACAGGCACCAGGTTCTGACGACAACCAATAACATAAATATAAGATAATTCAAATATCACTAGCTGGTGATAGAGGAATCATTTCCAATGCGAAGGTCTCAGATGGTGTGGTTCTGTCACACATAAATGCCTCTGTGTCAAGAAGGTATGCTGTAATAAAACTATTGAAGTGTGATTTTCTCTTTAAATAATGCTACATGGGAGAAATGTCATGAGGACAAAGCAAATAAGTGTTATCACTTCAACCTTGGCATACAAGGTTTTTTGGAGACTTAACTCTGTAGTAACAATAACAGAAGTTTGTAATTAGTCAGAGATACGCTCTGTTTAAAATGAATATCGAATTGATAAATTAGAATGACTGTCTGATACTTTATTATTTCTTATTTCAAATCTATTCATTAAATGTTTTAACTATTACGCAAATCGCCTTTATCCCTTTTAAAATCCGTAAAACATAAACGGTTTAGGGTTAATGATGATTTTAATGAAGAACCTAAGTAGTACTATTTTTCATCTCGTGAGACTTCATTAGATTTTCCGTTATGTTGCACATTTTTACGATGGCGCGGAGCGAATGGCGGCAATTAAACACAGGACCGGCCGCAGCGAGGCGGACTCTACGACCGGTCCCGTACGTGATCTCCGGCAACGCGTGCTGACTCGCTAATAGTTCGAATATAAGGGTGTTGTTACACATTTGTGTACTGGCCGACCTAGCATATTACGCTGATATCTAAGTACATAATATAATAGTGTAAGGTTCTCTAGAAGAAAATACATATGATATTTTACCGTTTTTTTCAACGCATATTGGTGGGCAGAATTATCAGTTATTTTATATACTATTTCTTACGATATGTTTATTATAATTTACTCATTGATTTATATTTGATACCTTATGAGTGAAGTGTATGCTATATTTATTTAACTTCTCAATAGGACAGGACCCCCTTGAATTCTAAATCCTATTATAATTTAAATTTTTTTACTTTATAAATAATATGTATCAACAGCGTTTACATATTATATTCGCACAAACGTATGTTTAGCCTTACAACATTCGGGCCATTCGTCTTTCGCAAGAACGTGCCGCCGCTATTGGTATGCGCCTGTCGATAACGTCTCGAGCAAGGCCGGCGGAATTTGACTCTACGTGTGTTCGTGTGTTTATGTTATATATGTGTACAGGAGTGTGAGTGGGTGATAGCATGAGGTCTAGCTAGGGTTGTCGAAACCCCCAAGCAGTATTATTTCTTATGTTATAAGCAAATTCAGTCTCCGGTTTTAGTCATACATACATTCATTTATCACAGTCTATAATAGAGCTGAAAGAAGATGTAGTGACAAAA